GATAGTTATAAGTAATTGCTTGTCCATATGAGTACAGTAGCCCGTGGCTGGGTAGTAGGTAGCCGCATCCAAACTTTTTGTGTTCAATCTTTGATATAATTTATATTTTATTATTCGATTTTCGTAATTTGAGTGATACGAGGGTCAAACTGAAAGTTCTTAGAACTGGCCACTTATAAACAATATAATAAAAAAATAATTCTAAAATTTGAAAATATAACTCTTTGCCAATATTACTGAGTATATATTTCATTCATTTGTCATTTGTTTTACGATTTGGCGGCAAATTGAAAATTGTCTGTGTCACGTCATCATGAATTTAACACGAGAAAATTTTCGTGCAATGATTTTTTATGACTTTCGATGTCATTTAAGTCAACAAGAAAGTTATGATAGACTACGATTGGCCTTTCACGATGAAGCCCCATCTCGTGCGACTGTTTACAACTGGTTTAATGAGTTTAAACGTGGTCGCACTAATCTCACTGATGATTTACGTGAGGGACGGCCTTCTACGGCGACGACTGAAGATAACATCTGTGTTGTGCGGCGTATGATAGAGACTGACAAAAGAGTGACCTATCAACAGATTCGGACAAGCTTAGGCATCGGTATGAGTCAAGTGCACAAAATCCTCCACGAACATTTAGCGGTCAGGAAGCTTTGCGCCCGGTGGATACCTCATAATTTGACTGAGGCTCAAAAACTCCATCGTGTGGATTGGTGTCGTAAAATGATTGAAAGATTTAACGGAGGTGACTCAAATGCTGTGTTCGACATACTAACAGGTGACGAAAGCTGGATTTACTGTTATGATCCTAAAACCAAAAGACAATCTGCTCAGTGGGTGTTTCCTTTCGAGGAGTTGCCAACTAAAGTGAAGAGAGATCGAAGTGCGGGAAAAAAAATGGTGGCCTCGTTCTTTGGAAGGATAGGTCATTTTGCAACAATTGTGTTAGAGGATCAAAAAACAGTTTCTGCAGAATGGTACACTACCAATTGTTTGCCACTTGTCTTGGAAAAAGTTCGAGAGAAACGACCTCGCAGTAGGATCCTCCTTCACCACGACAACGCCTCGTCGCACACCGCCAAGCGAACGATCGACTATTTGGCGACATCAAACGTTGAATTACTGGGTCACCCGCCGTATAGCCCCGACCTCGCGCCTTGTGATTTTTATTTATTTCCAAAAATTAAAGAAAAACTTAAAGGAAAGCGGTTTATGAATGCTGAAGAAGCGGTGGCTGCGTATCGCGATGCCATTGAAGAGACCCCTAAGGACGAGTGGGCAAAGTGCTTTTCCCAGTGGTTCCATCGCATGCAGCGGTGTATTGACGTGAATGGACAATATTTTGAAAAGATATAATAAAACTAATAACTGGCTAATGTAATCAGTTTTTGATTTTCTAAGAACTTTCAGTTTGACCCTCGTATGATATGCTCTTTCTGAATGTCAGTTCGTGAAAATTCTCATAAAATGTTGATAATTGAAATTAATAATATATTTTAAATTATGTGTTAAAGTAAATCTATATAAGAAAAACTTTCAGTGAAATAATAAGTTCTACATATTATGGAAGACTGGGTTGTGTAATTGTTTTATAAGTATCTACTTATACTATTATAATTTTCAGAATCCTAATCGAACTGTTGCTACAGTTGTTTTGTTTATACCATGAATATAATTGTCAAGCCTAGTCAGCGATTTCATTTCTACCACATTGAAGCTACGGAACCTATAGAAGAGTTTATAAAAAAAACCCTTGTTATACACAAATCATACAGTATGAAAAACTGTAGTAGCCACGTCAGCAGCCAGGCGCGCTTTTGTGAAGTTTATGAATGATGATTTATGTGCCATATTAATAAGTTCATAAACACTACGTAGATGAGTTAAATCAAATAAAAAATATTTTTTCTCTCAGAAGTTGTTGCAAATACTAACTCCGATAAAAAGTTTTCATAACAATTGGATGCATGTGTATGTAAATATTTCAACAATAAATCATAAGATATAGTATAAAAAAACATTTAAAATTGACTAGAAATGACATGTTTGTCATTTTTATGAAATTGTAATAGACTATTCGAATAACTGAATAAATTAGTTTTATTATTAATTTATTAAGAAAATTTTACATAATTTGGTTAAACGTGTGTTTCTATATTGTAGAATATCAGTTGCAATATTTCCATGTATTAGGAAAATAAAATTCGTCTATCCTAAATAAAATTGTATTGTGTGTATACCCCAAATGTACGAGTTATAGAGTACCATAACAGTAATCTATAACTCGTACAAATTAACAGACACCAGCACACATAGCACGACAAAATTTGTCTACATTAAATATCACTTTTCTCGAGTTGAGGATATATGTATTGTATGAGCGTATCAAAAAAGTGACATTTGGGTATAGACAAAACGTTCTCTAGTTTGTCTAGAAGGCCTTTTGTTCTTTTTCAGAAAACTTCGAATCATTCGGAAAATTTCAATTCGCTTATTATTTTTAACTACATCCATATCCTCTCTTTTTAATTATCGGAAAATTAGTTTTTTCGGAGTCGTATTACTATTTCCAAAATAGACAATAAAATTATTTAGGAAAAATAAAATAGGGCTTCAGGTGTCATGTTAATTCGTAGAGTAGTAAGTCCTATTGTGTAAAGTTTTGTAAGTCGTTATTTACAATAAGTGTTTATTATAATTAATATGATACGATTTATTAGTGGTTTTGGGACCGAATTGGCCGAGTTCAACTAATTTCATGCAGTAATTAAGCAAGTAATTTAGTCGCGTCCAAATATACTGGAACCCATTAAACTAGGCCCGAGAGTAAAGTTTTTGTCCCCTTTCCGGGTGCATTTTGGGATTGTTCGTAAACATCTTATTAATTGTATAGTTGTAAAGGGTTTAGCCGGATACGTATGACGAGTCGGCCCCCAAATGGGAATCGATATTGAAACTTATGTTTTAATATCGACTTGATGTTCAAACACGATTTATGTACTTTTCGCGACCGACTTCCGCTTTGACCTTGAGATAGAGAGCAAAATATCCGTATGCTTGACTATTACTGAATGTGATATATCTCTGAAGCTAATTAAGATAAAGAAGTGAAACTAACGCGAGGTGTTAGGTTACATTACAGAGTATATCACATATATTTTTTTATAATTTTTAGAATAAAAAATTACATTAAAAAAATAAAAATAAAAAAAAACATGTTTTTTTTTCTGAGTTCTCTGTGACTTACAATCACGAAATTAATATATGTTATGCTCCTTTATGTGCTCTATCACCCATAAAAATTGCGTGAAAAAAAAGTTGGTGCAACACAACGAAAAAAAATTATATGTGATTCGCGCCTTGTAGTGTAAGTGTATAAACAAACAAGTTCGAACTTGTTATCGAGCTGTTTACTGCATCGTTTGTTTAGCTAAAGTAGCAGTCATTTGTATTACACAAGAAGGCAGTTTGGGAATTCAATTCTGTCATAGGTATTTTGTATCAGCATTTTTAAATTATTAACTATCGAACCAAATCATTATTAAGTAATAATGTCGAGAAAGTGTAAAAATTGTAACAAGTACCTGTGTAAGGTTCCTGGTTATAAAAAAATTATGAAGAATGAAGAAGAAGCTAAAGTGTTTAGTGACTGTTTGAATAAAATCGTAATAGTTAATGATATTTTTTGTAAGAAGTGTTGACTTATCCCATATATTAACAAAAAAGCTTCTACTTCTAAATGTGCAGCATTTAACTTGGCCGAAATAATGGACGATCAAAATAATCTCTCAGTACAATATGTGAAATCAGCACCTAATATCATCAAAGCAGAAGTAAAATCAAGACATATAAATAGAAAAGTCTATCGAATTTACATTCACTATATTTCCGAAGGTAATGACTACAATAGTATTCTTCGTTATTGCTGTGATTGCCCCAATGGCAAACGTACAGTGGGATGCTGTTCTCATGTAGCAGCTATTATTTATTATCTATCATATGGATGATATTTGTCCAAAATCGTACGTCCTGCTGAGGTCCTAACTAAGTTATTTGCGACTCAAAGTGTTCCGATTGTAATTAATTACAACAGTGACGATGATTAATATTTTGTTTCTTGTATTTTGATAGACACGAAAAAGTAATAATAATAAGTATTGAACACTGGCTGTTTTTTTTTTCATTTCTTTTTTAACTATTATCCCATCTTTTAAGACTAGTTACGTATGTTTTAAAACAAGCTGATGTGAAATTTTGAAAAAAAAACAATGATGTAATGTGAAAACCTTATAATACAGGGGTATACCATAAGACAGAAATCACATATAATTTTTTTTCGTTGTGTTGCACCAACTTTTTTTTCACGCAATTTTTATGGGTAATAGAGCACACAAAGGAGCATAACATATATTAATTTCGTGATTGTAAGTCACAGAGAACTCAGAAAAAAAAACATGTTTTTTTTTATTTTTATTTTTTTAACGTAATTTTTTATTCTAAAAATTATAAAAAAATATATGTGATATACTCTGTAATGTAACCTAACACCTCGCGTTAGTTTCACTTGTTTATCTTAATTAGCTTCAGAGATATATCACATTCAGTAATAGTCAAGCATACGGATATTTTGCTCTCTATCTCAAGGTCAAAGCGGAAGTCGGTCGCGAAAAGTACATAAATCGTGTTTGAACATCAAGTCGATATTAAAACATAAGTTTCAATATCGATTCCCATTTGGGGGCCGACTCGTCATACGTATCCGGCTAAACCCTTTTACACCAAAACTTATGAAATTTTTAAACGTATTATGAAAATAAGAATTAAGGAATGATATAAATTATAAAAGGCATTATTTAGGTTTGTTTTGCTTCTTGTCTTCGGTTGAAAAAGTCTATTTTAAAAGTTATGTTAAATTAAAATTACGACTTTTAATATTTAATAAGCACTTTGTACAAAGAAAAACGATTGATGTTAAAAAATATATAAATACCTTGCGGAAAAAAGGTTAGTTAATTTCTTCTAAAACGCTGCCGGAAACCTGTCAACAAACAAAAAATTGTATTATTGAAAAGTTACATTTCATCACATTTCAGTGCTTTCCTATTATTATTTAAAAAAAATCTCAATTCACACTTTTAAAATGATTTGAGTAATTTTAGTGATTTAACGTTCACTTTGCACGCACGCAACGCATTTTCCATATATTCGTATAGCACTCCGTCAACTGCGGTACAGACCGCACGCATTATATGGAAAGAATACGATGTTACTGAATAAACTTGTCATTCCAGTGTCATCATCATCAGCCCTTTTACGTCTTCATTGCAAGGGCTCAAGCCTTCCTTATGGATGATTAAGGAGGATGGGCTATGACCTTCCACGCTTCCCCAATGAGGATTGGTGGGTATTAACGACTCCAAATGCAGCCGGGACCAACGGCTTAACATGCCTTCCGTAGCACGGAGTAACTCGAGACAGCAATCGCTGGCCGCGGCGCCAGTGGCTTATCCACTATGCCACCGAGCTACTCCAATGTACTTACAGGCTTTTTTTTTCTTTTATAACGTAGGAAAAATGCATTTTATGCCTTAAACCAAGTTAAACTAAGACTCTCCAACCACCTTGTACTGAAAAGGACAGGTTGAAGCGTCGTTGGAAGCGGTAACTGATAAAACCCGTTGCAGAATATTTTCGCTAGGCAGAAGGATCCGGGATCAAGCAAGGAGCCCAATGGATCCAACCCTACTAAGGGACCTTATGCTCCCCCTGCTGGCTGGGAAAAGATCACGGTACCTGACCTTCTCTTCTCTGGAGACGACGGTGTCAGTGGTTTGCAATCGCAGCCAACATGTGGATATCGTGTTGTCAAGCAAACTGTAATCCAAAGTCGAGATAATGCTGTGCTGCGCTGCTGAACCGTTATGTACTATGACCTTTAAGATTACCAAAAAAGGTGTGTTGCTTAAGCTTGCGTGTCTCGCTTAATGCCGCACCTATGACAGTTACTGGCACAAAGAAAAGGAACGTTTAAAGAAAAAAAATATAAAAGTAACCCTAATAAAAGCTAAACGTATCGGAAGTTTTAAAATTTAGGTGGTCAATAAGTTCAATTATACATATAAGTTTATTTTCGATATACCTATACTCACTGATTTGATTCTTATGTGGCCTGAGTCAAAAACATAATTTTTTTTAAAAAACATAGTTGAGCATCGTAAACGCAAAATTTATCATCTTAAAATTCTGCTTAGGTTCAGAATTCGTTATAATTCTAATTCATATTTCATTTATTATTTTTCATTTTTACTTCTTTGTATCTACCAAAACTCAAATAATATAGATACAGCGGAGACTACCAGTTTAACGTGTTTACCAAAACTGTAAAAAGTAATGGCAAAAAATTGTGGTCTTCCATACAATAACTGACTTTTGACAAAGTTGCTTACCAACCGTAATCGTAAAAAAGAATGCTTCAACTAAAGCGTATTTAATATTAATAAATCTGAAGTCTCTGCGCATGGGATTAATAGAACATTGTTTAAAAATCAATAAATAATACGTAAATATAAAAAGAACAAAATAGAAATATAGAATAATAAAAAGCATTGCCTTTCCAGCGTCCGTTGGGGTTATATCATTTCTTGTAGTATAATAATATTCTTTCTCATTTATCAGAATATATTCCAGGCTCGGATAGAATTTATGGATCCTGAAACCGAATATAGCAGCGCAAATGCGACAGTATAACTCGCTATTTTTAGTCGTATCTCCTTTGAGATATATCTTATTAATATCTAACTTACAAATTATCGAATATATTAATAATGAAACTTCTAAAATTATTAATGTTAGTAATTAATAAGTAATAATATGGAGATTCGTTTGTTGGTATAGGTGTTGCTAGAAAAACGCCAGGCCTATATTCCATTTTTAAAGATAGGTCATGAAATTTTTGGTTATGTTGTTGGTGGTATAGGTTTAAAGACATCTATTCTCATAAGAACTTACAAATGTTAATTTAATTTGTTTAAAACATTATATATTTATTATTATATTTGAGGAATTTGCATTCATAATGCTATATAGTTGGAAAATTCATCAGTCCTGTTACGTTCTGGGTAGCTCAGTGGTTAGAGCAGCCGCCCGGATTACAAAAGGTAATGGGTTCGAGTCCAATGTCAGAGTGCGAGGGACATAGTGGAGTTCTAATCTAAGATTTATACAAACAGAAACATTGTGACGCTCACCGTAACTACTTTCAATGGGTACTTACATTGTCGACGACAGCGAAACATTATTTGCCTCAAGTCAAATAAAAAAAACAGTAACATTCATTACAGAAACTCTACAGTGCACACAAACATAGTATAGACTTTTAAAAAAAGATTGTTAGTTAAGAAGTTTCAGAAAAAAATATTTATAAAAGTATGTTTTATGACATTTAAATTGTTAATAAAAAAATAATCGTTTTACAAAAGGAAAATAAATTCAATTACCTTGATTTTTTTTCAGAGATTTTTATGAATTTTGACCTAGTATCATCAATTCATCCTTACTCAATGTTGTTAATTATCGAAATTCTACAATCATTAGTCTATTTTCAAAATAAAGACAGCAAAGACTAATTTTTTATCAACTAATCAATCCTTGGAATAACTGACACGTGAACAAGATAATTTAATATACCAATGATACAACATTTTCCACCTACTTATTCGGGAACTGAATGCCAGTTCGTTACAAGTCTTTGGGGTATTATGATTTTGCATAATCAATGCTAATTCCATGCAGATGGCACTCCCAGATTAGGAGTCACGGCTGAGCCATGAGGGAACCTACAACAAATCTCTGCATTTCATTATGCGATTATACGATAAGAAAATAGGCTTACAAGAAAAATTGTTTGCTATAATTCGTTGTCAGTAAGTTTGATGGAATAATCAAGACATCTTGTTTTATTTTTTTCGTAAATATTTGGCGATACATTTTCACAACGATGTGATGATCAATTTTCTTGTTAAGTATTTTTGGTAATGGCAATTTCCTTTTTTTTTTATCTCAGATCAAATGTTATACTTCTTATTTCATTTCATATTTTTGACCACTAAATAAATACCGATTTCAAATGTTTATAATTCTGCTAGAAATATTTATATTGTTTCAGTTAATCTACACTAATATTATCTTGCCAGTTCCACGTCTATGTAGAATTATTAAATAAGCCACCGAAAATTTATTCCAAAAGAAATACCAAAATAACAAACCAAATCAATAAAAAATATTTTAAAGAGGACTCTTTGTTTGCGCTGAAAAGTCTACAAAATTACTGAACTGATTTTAAAAATTCTTAGACCGATGTGAAGCTACATCACACGTATTTTAGTCCAAAAACAGCAAATAAAAGGTTGAAAATGGGTGTGGAAGTTTGAACGGGGAATTAAAACGTCAATATAGTAACCATTGTATACTTTTCAATTTGTCATTGTAATTTTATCCTTGGCAAAATATGAGTCGATTTCCAAATTGATGTTTCCACAGGAGTAAATAATCTAATTAATATTTATCCCGATAAACAGTTCCCTAGAGATTACGCGGGCGAAACCGTGGGTGGAAAGTTAGTATACAGATAAATTGAGAACCTCCTCCTTATTCTTTTGAAGTTAGTTAATGATATGAATGTCAGCGAAATGAAAGATATCTACCAATTTCAAAAACTGATGTGAATATTTCTATTAAGAGATATATTTATTATTATTAACTACAAATAGGGTAGATAACCCCGTTTTGTACTGCCGTTGTTTCGGCCTTATAGGCCTCAGAAGAGTTGTAACTAACGCATAGGCATGTCGTGGGCATGTCTATTATTTTACCGTGTACGGTTTGAAGTTTTGGATTATGGCAAAACTGCGCCGTTTAATAACTCTGATATGTCAAAGTTCAATTCCTCGTAATATTAAGAGAGGCCAAAACGAGGTCCTCATCGTAAAAACCGCGTCATTTACCCTATTGGAACTATCATAGCTTTATTATTAACTATTGGTGCTAAAGATACGTACCTTATTCAATAAATACATATAAATAAATAATTCATTAGATTTATGACATAGTAATTTAAAAGTATTATATAAAAATATATGTTTTTATTTTAAAATTTAAAACGGCTTTCAATTTTATGTGAGCAGCTTTTAGTTTCAGCTTAGCATTATTAATTGTTTGTCAATTTACCTAAGCCAACCAAACTTCCATTTAACTTTTAAAAGTCAATTAACATACATGAATACTATTTTCAAACTTTGCTGTAGATCACTATATTTTTTAACTTAAAAACAATTTAAATTACAGTTTTAGTTGGTCACTGTAGCTTTGTGCACGGAATTATCCGCATGGTAAGTAAAATAGCTTATTTTGAGAATCTCAAATACCTTTTATAATTTGAAAAAAAAAGTTTTGAAGTAGGTAAAAGAATATTGCCTTTACTGATCTCCGTAACTATATGGAAACTAAAAAAATACAGATTTCTTTATCTATTCTTTATCTTTATCGACAAATTCTTTACTAAAGATTTCAAGAAAATCTTTAAGTGGATATTTTAATTTTAGCGGAACTTTCATTTTCGTATGTTATGCTATTATTGTAATATATAATATTTATTGGATGAGGGTTTAAATAATTGCCAATAAATAAATAAATAAATATAAAACAACATTTCTCAAATCCTAAATGAAGTAACTAGAGCACTTTTTATGGAAATCTAAAACAACGATACTGGAGGATTTCCAATGATTGAAATCTGAAAATTAGTGGACTTACATAGTTATTTTCCATAGGTTTCGGTCGTACTCCTTTTTCTTGAATTCTTATTATTATATAAAAAATAGTTCACACACTCAACACTATTTTGAGCACAGTTTATTTTTGGTGAGATATTAACACAGCGGTTTAATTTCGAGAGGAGCGTATTTTATAACGTATCTTCGCGTTGACACCATGACAGAGAGAGAGATCTTCTTTTTTTTATATTGGGCGGGTGGAATTTTA